GACAGCTGGTGGAGGGGGGCAGAACTGTTTCTAGGACTTTCTATGACACCCAGGTTTGATTGCCTGCCTGTGTCCCTTCCTGCCTTCATAACCTCTTTGCTCTAAGTCCTCATGGTGGCACCTCCTCACCATCCCACCCCCCAGGGTCAGCCTTTCCCCTCCTCTGACTACTTGTAACTACCAAATGGCACTGAGTGTTTGATAGCCTCTCCCCTGCCCTCCTGCAAGGTCACAAGGGCTAAAGGCTCCTTTTTCTGTGGAGGAATGCTTTGCCACACATATGGGTAGTGAGCTGGCAGAAGGGCGGATCTGCCTGCCCACAAACAGGTCACACAGATAGTTGTGACCATGCATAAAGCAGGAGCAATGAGTCCCTCTTGTGCAAAGAAAACTGTCTCCTTGAGCTACCCAGAGAGCCCCACCCCAACTACAGAACTTCCTGCAGGACAGGCACACTGATGTCCAGTCCTAGTACAAAGGAGTAGATACCCGCAAGAGACCTACATAGTTAGACACGCTTTGTGTTCCTTCGAGCCCATTCTGGTGTATCTTCATGACTTACAGAAAAGGAAAAGACGTTTCCCTCCCCAGGCTCTACCTACTTTTTGTTTCGAGAGTGTCATGTGTTTAACTACTACTGACTTCAACCACAGATCCTTCTAAGTGCCCTCATTGTTTTCAGATGTCTGCTGACTGCATGTGATCTCCAAATTTCAAAGGGGGATGGGAGATGTTAGTAGTTAGGAATTCATGTTCTCCCCACTCTATCTCTCTGCCCCAAGTCTGTGGACTTGTCTGCAGTTTTACCAAGATTTTCCTCCTTCTTATCCTTGAAATGGAAAATGACCCCTGCCTCCTTGTCCAAACCAAACATCTGCATCTTTGCCATGCTCCGTGTCACTTTCTCAAGGGCTTTGCTGTGCCTCTTACCCGCTCTTCCTCCTGTGGCTTCAAGCTACGGCTGTTTCACAGCTGCTTCCTGTCAGCATTGACACAATTTCAAGTCAAGTCCCTTCAATATTTTAAAAAGCTTTTTCTCAACTCCCATCCTTCTGGTCACTACTTATTCTCTCTCCTCCCCTCTGTCACCAAGCCTCTGACTTCTGGATTCTACCTCAGTTATTTTGTTCAAACTACCAAACCGAAGGTATCTGTCTTAGTACATTTTGTTGCTGTAACAAAATACCTGAACTGGGACATTCAAAAAGAAAAAAAAGTTTTATTTAGCTCATGGTTGTACAGATTGAGAATCATAAAATCGTGGTATTGTCATCTTCTCAGCTTGTAGCAGAGGTGTTGAGCTTTCTCATCTTTTTGTGTGATGGGATAAGTTTATTGAGTACACTGCAAGGTGTTGTATGCTCAGAAGAACACTGTCTACCACACACTGTGTCTTCCTGAGGCAGAAAGCAGGAGGGAAAGTTGGCATCAGTGGAAAAGAGAAAATATGAGGGCAGAGTCTCACGAGAGCTATCCTGGTTTCTCTTAAATGTCTAACCAACTCTTCAAGGTCTAACCAACTCTCAATGGTGTCACTCAGAGACCCTAGTTTTGACCTGAGTTTCAGAGAAGAGAAGTCACATTGAAAGGAGAGCACCTACAATGGTCTGTTTTCAAATCAAAGGAGAAGACTGAGTTCTTAATCTTTTGAGGTACTGAAGTCCTCTTGCCCACTCTGCCCTTGAAGTCTTTCCCGTGGCCTCTGAGACAATGCACATTGTGCTAGCCCCTTCAGTGCATTTTGCTATCCTTTGATCATCTCAGCGACTCTGATGGTTTTACATTTTCATGTATCTCCCAGCGCTTCTCAAATGTAGGTGTCTAGCCATGGTCTTTTCCACAGCTATAGACTTCCCTCGCTAGTTGCCTGCTGGTCACCTTGTCTTGGCACACTCAGTGATGGCCCACACTCATTGTCTCCATGATGGGATACAACTTTCCCTGAAGACTTGGCAAATCATAGAGTTCCCTATCTCAGTGAATGTCAGCACCATGATTATGGCTGCCAAGTTAGGCACATGGGCAAATTGCAGACAAACACCACACAAACCTCAAATCCAAGCTTCCATCAAATATCTCCTATACTGCCTTTTAATTAGACTTGAACCTATCCATTTATCCCTTTGCATTCTTTCTCCACAATGCAGTCACAGTAAGTACTGAAGGGCTCAAATCTGGGTTCAGATTCTTCTCCCAAAGTCTCTCTATAGTTGATTAACTTTGCTTTGAAAGTAAATTCCAACCTTCACCTGAAAAAGATCTCACATGCTCTAGACCCTACTCTACCCTTGTGCCCAACCTCTTTCATGCTCTCAGGTCATATCACCTCCAGCTCCCACTCCCTGCTACATATTAATCAAGTCATTGAACTTCCTACTCTGTCCCTCAAGCCTAAAACGCAGTCCTCTCACCCTTCTCCACTTGATAGAAGATCATAATCCCTGCTCACAGTCATGATCATGACATCAGTGGCTCAGTTGTCCTGCAGGAGTTTGTCTAATGGCAGTGCTCCTGACTCTTGTGGGGTTACATCCCTGACTGGATTCCCATTGGACAACAGGGACTCTAGCCAGAGAGCCTGCTGAAGATACCCATGCAAAGTCCACCATTCTCTGTTGCATGCTAGAAGAAGATCTGAGTGAATATGCCACAGTAGTCTGGTAAACATATGTAGGATTTGGGGAAAAGTGGCCATGGCTGTATAGTTTACACCAGATCACACATGTGTCAACCCTCTGGTTGAACTGTGCATTCAAGACATGCTTGTCACCTCACAACCATCGCTATCATGCCACATTTGGCCCAAGATGCACAGTTCTGTGGGTGTGTACACACATTAGTTTAATAGTGCTCCACCACAATCCAGTCACATTATAAATGTGATGGATTTCCTAGGCTCAAGAGACAGTGAGTAACCCAGTGTCAGAGGCACCAAACCTGGCATGGCTGAAACTCATCTGTCTTTGAACGTTGTCTCATGGTCCTGTGACTGAGGAGTTGGAACAACTGTTTCTTGTCATAGAATGCACGTTGAGTTTCATTAGCAGATGTAATAGACACAGATGCAATCTATATGAACAGACACTGAGGACTTTGGAGATGGTATGGTGTCCTGCATATCTGACTGCCTTTTGCTTGACATGGGAAAGACATTTATAGCATGTGGGTCAAGCTAGAAAAGGAAAAACCACATTAGGTATTTTTAAAGAGAGAACTTGACACAGAGGAATTGTTTATTCAGGTGATAGAAGAGACAGGAGAGCAAACAGTGGAGGTGAGTCAACCCACAATTAAAAACTGAGTAGTGTCAGCATATGACAGAAGTTGAGGTTATGTGGCGGGACCCAGAATCCCATGGGACTGTCTGGTGGGAGCTTGAGACTCGGTCCTTACTAGAAACAGAGTCTGAGGTCAACACTAGTTTAGTTCGTCTTTTTGGTTGTTTGTTCCTCCCTGTTCAATATCCCTCCATTGCCTCCTATTTGCTGAACTTAGCTGAAAATCACTTAGCCTACAGAGGGCAAAGGGTTCTAAGAAATAGCATCAGTCCCATGCCCCTGTGTTAGTGTTCCCAAGACCACCCTTGAGTGCTATGAGCTATCAGTGCCCAACAGGATTAGTTGTCCTAGTGACTGATTTACAACTCAAACATCCATGGGGTAAGGTCCACAGTAAATCAGGCAGATAGTCTCAAGGGTACTCCCCCATGCAAGTCACATAGCATGTGCCAGACACCACAGCAATGAGCTGTGACCACATATGTGTCATGGTGCATACCAGAGAAATTAATGGATTCTGTTCCAGGATTTTTACTGGCAACTGGTCATGTAGGCACCTTCCACCAAATTCTAGATAAGATGTTCTCAGCCTGTGGGTAGTGACTCCTTTGGGAGTCAAATAACCATTTCACAAGGCTCACAAATCAGATATTTACATTATGATTCATAACAGTAGCAAAACTACACTTATGAAGTAGCAAGAAAAATAGTTTCATAGTTGGGGTCACAACAAGAGGAGAACCTGTGTTAAAAAGGTTGCAGCATTAGGAAGATTGAGAACCACTGCTCTAGACTCTGGCAGGGAAGCAGGTGGTCTATATAAAGCACAGGTTTTGTTGAATTAAGTCACAGTGGGTGGCACTGATCAGTTAAGGAGAGATTCTTGAAATCCATGTTCCTGGATGCAAGTCAGTTTGGAGATCATGTGCAATTACTTTCTGCAGTCCCTATACACTTAGTAGAGCAGGATAAAGTGTGGAAAATCCCCTACAAACCCTCTGAGTGAGAAGCTCCAGTGTTTGCATCAGTGGCTAGCCAATCAACAAGCTCTCATTCTGGACATTGATGCCTGCTGAGACCTCAACTATCACCTGCAACAAGAGGAAACATCAGAGACTCACTGCGGGTAACCCTGGTTTGGGTCCACTTTCCTGGCATTACTGGGTCCAGATGGGATCACTGAAGGGACCAGCATCCCTCTTCCTGCAGGAACCTGGTGCATTCACAGCCCTTGACCCATGATTCCAACTTCCTGTGGATTGAAACACAATGAAAGTATATTTGTACTACCTTGCCTATTCCAAGGGCAGACAAGAATACCCGAAGACATCACTCAGGGATCCTGGCTCCATCAGAAATACAGAGAAACCTGTGGGAGTTGTGAACAAACAGAAGGTTTTTGAGATGAGAAAAAACCTTAACTCCTTAATTCTGAGTTTTCACATCTGTGACATTGACACTTTTCTTGTTAAAGAGCCCACCGTCTTTCTCCAGGATGGTAATACCCAGGAGGTGGCCTGTGTTTGCTCAGGTAATGGATGTTCCAGCAAACACTGCTTGATTTACATGCAAAATTTCACATCTCGAACAGAGAACCCAGTCTTGTCTGGATGCTGCTATTTTTTCCAGCTGAATAAGACCTTCATTGGTTAGGGCTGGATTTCCAGAGGGAAGTGAGGGGGGTTTTGTAAATAACACCTGGTCTTGTACAAAGATGTCCTGGCCTCTGACACGAAGGAGGGCTTCTCTCTTCCCCTGCCCTTTCTGCCTAAAGAGTTGGAGAGAGAACTTTCCATTCCAGAGGGAGGTGTCATGGTGGAGAGGATCAGGGGGAGGCAGGGTGAAAAGTTGGCTGCTGTGTTCCAGCTGCAGTGGCACTTGTGTGGTGAAGGTAAGTGATCCGCATCTTGCAATCTCACTTCTAAAGAAACCCTTCAGGAGGGTCAAAGGCTCATGGCAATGACAAACGCAGGAAGGCTGTTACAAGCTTCTTCCCTCCCCTCATTACTTCCCCATCTTTTCCTTTTAGGAGATAGCCAGATCCATGCTGGGGACAGCTCCAGATGCCAGGTGCCTACCCATTGTGTTGGATACCATAAGATGCTCTTCATTTGTCAGTTGTCTCCTGTCACGCTCCCTCCCAGTAACTTTCGGTGTCTGGGCTGCCTCTCCTTGTGGCGGGCCACCCTGAAGGCCAACGGGGAAGAAAGAACCCATGACTCACATAATCTCCGTGAATACCACCACTGTGTTTTAAATTCTGGTAAAAATACACATAACAAAATTTACTATATTAAGTCAGGCATGATGGCCCATGGCTATGATCCAAGCATTCAGATGGCAGAAGCAACTGTGGGCAGCCTGGGCTACACCATGTCAACCTTGTGTTTCTCTCTCTCTCTCTCTCTCTCTCTCTCTCTCTCTCTCTCTCTCTCTCTCTCTCTGTGTGTGTGTGTGTGTGTGTGTGTGTGTGTGTGTGTGAGAGAGAGAGAGAGAGAGAGAGAGTTCCAGTCGGTTCTATTCCTTCTACTGGTTATAGTCAGACTGTCGAACTGTTGACCACTGAAGTGAAGTCAGACTTCCTATCTATCTTTGCAAGAGGGAAACAGTACTTTATAATAAAAGGCTGCTTATAAATAGTAATCAAAATGAAAGGCAAAGCCTGGCATGGTGGTACATGACTGTATTGGAAGCACACTATAGGCTAAGACAGAGGAGTATGAGTTCAAGGGCAGCCCAAGACATTAGAAACCTCATCTCAAGTAAGCAAACAAACAAAAGGAAGGCAACATTATGCATGAAGAAACTTGGTCAACAAAAGAGAAACCTAACAGTAATTCTACAAATTTGTTACAGATGGGTTAATTAGCAATAGTGGCTACTGAAAACCACAGCTGACACTAGACAGTAATGATAGTGTACAAATAACGCACCCTTCATCCAAATAGCCAGTGTGCTGACCAAGTTTTGTGTGTATACATAGGCATATCCTAGGGAACTGGTACTTTGCAGTGTTAATTAGAATCTAGGCTTCCTTATCACTCCTTGTATGACTTTGAACACATCATCTAACTTCATATGTAAAATGATCATCACAACAGATCGGCCACACAGGTTATGAAGACCGGAGACAATACTCACAAAGTACTGCTACCACACAGGTATGAGGCCGGTGCTAAACAATCCTTGCACGGGGTGGAGGGGTGAAGGTTGGGGGTGGTGGCTGTGCACAGAACAGCCATTCACTCCTGATAGGTATTCTCACTTTTCTAGTAATTATTGCCCTTACTTTTCCATTACTAGGTAAACAATTATGTAACTTGCTAATCACTTCATCAATGGCATCTGTTGTAGTTTTCACTCCAGAAACCATTTTGAGAGTTCCCTCTGAAACTTACATGTATCAGTGGGGGTTAGTGAATGACTGTTGATGGTGCAGTTTTATATGTTGTGTATCTATTTCTAACTGAAGCAAATGAAAAGCCCTTTCTCTTGAATCTTACAAGGAAGCTATCTGGGTAGAGGTGCAGAGAAGGATTTTCAATGAACAGTGCCCAGTGTATGAGCAATGGCAAGCTAACTCCTGATCAGTTAGTTTGGAAGCCCACACCCAGGCAGGGCCCCCTGTCCAGATTTGTCTGGGCATCTTAAAGCTCTCCAATGAGGACTATGGAAGCAGGTTGAGGGGTCTTCCAGTTTATAGCAGTCCCTTCTGTAGGCCCAGCTGTTTCCTGATGTGGTGGCACTCGTTGCTGGGGAGGGGACACCAGAACCAGGCCTGTAGCACGCTCGTGGAGGGAGCAAGAGCAGAGGCCAGCACTGAAACCTGGAAACTGGAAGGGCAGCTTGTAGTGGCTAGCAGCAGGAAGTGGGAGGACGTGATGTCCTGCAGGGGCTTCCTGACAGCACAACTTCTGGATACAATCTATGCGTTTCCAAAGCCATTGCACAATCCTGCACACACATTAAGACACGGCCAGAGAACTGGGCAAGTTCTCTATTCTTGGGTGCTCACTCGACAATTTCGGCAGTGAAGTTTCAGATAACTGCCCAAGTCCTTCCTGTAAGAATGTTTCTGAATGATGTATCTGTCCCCTCATGAGGCTAGCTGTAAGTAGTTGAAATGACATCTGACACATTTGGTGAGCCGTGTGGACATATACCATGATCCACTGGGATACTTCCAACATTTCTAGCTTATATCAAAATCATTCTTCAACATTTTAAATAAATTCAGACAAGTAACTGGGCTAGAAGAGAGTCTTCCACTTATTTTATTTTTTGAAAGAGGAGAGAGAGAGAGAGAGAGAGAGAGAGAAGAGAAGAGAAGAGAAGAGAAGAGAGAGAGAGAAGAGAGAGCACAGATGCTCAGGAATGTAAGATCATGTTGGATTCTTGAGCTTGCACGCTGGTACTGCAATAGTCTTAGTAGGCTAATGGCATAGAGTTAGTTCCTGAAAGGTCAGTGACAGTCATGAACAACATGGTTCATTGTCCTTGGTTTCCCATGGTCCTTCTTGACCACTGAGCACATTAAAACATTTTTATGTATAATTTTTTATTTAAATTAGAAACAAGCTTGCTTCACACGTAGATCCCAGCTGTCTCTCCCTCCCCTCCTCCACCAGCCCCACAGCCCCCCACCCAAACCCCACACCATTCCCCAGGGAGAGTAAGGCCCTCCATGGGGGATCTCCAGAGTCTGGCATTTCATCCAAGGCAGGGTCTAGGCCCTCCCCCATGTGTACAGGCTGAGATACCATCCCTCCATGTGGAATGGTCTCCCAAAGTTCATTTGTAATCCATGGTAAACACTAATCTACTACCCAAGGTCCCAGAGATTGCTGAGGCCTCCTCACTGACACCCACATTCAGGGAGTCTGGATCAGTCCCATGCTGCCCTCTCAGCCATCAGTCTGGGGTCCAAGAGCTCCCCCTTGTCAGGTAATTTGTCTCTGTGGGTTTTACCAGCATGATCTTGACCCCTTTGCTCATCACTCCTCCCTCTATGTCAATGAGTTCCAGGAGTTCAGTGTTTAGCTGTGGCTATCTGCTCTGCTTCCATCAGTTGCTGGATGAAGGTTTGGTATTGGGATGGTAGTCTGGCACTCTCATGAACTATGCCTAAAATTCATATATGAGTGAGTACATACCATGTTTGTCTTTTTGTGACTGGGTTGCCTCACTCAGGATGGTTTCTTCTAGTGCCATCCATTTGCCTGCAAATTTCAAGATTCTGTTGTTTTTTCCCACTGAGTAGTACTCCATTGTGTAAATGTACCACATTTTCTCTATCCACTTTTCAGTTGTGGGGCATCTAGGTTGCTTCCAGGTTCTGGCTATTACAAACAATGTTGCTATGAATATAGTGGAACAGATGTCCTTGTATGAATGTGCATCTTTTGGGTATATGCCTAAGAGTGGAATTGCTGGGTCTTGTGGTAGACTGAGTCCCATTTTCCTGAGGAATTTCCATACTGATTTCCAAAGTGGCTGTACAAGTTGGCACTCCCACCAACAGTGGAGAAGTGTTCCCCTTTCTCCATATCCTCTCCAGCATAAACTGTCACTTGTCTTTCACTTGTTTGGCTAGCGTTACCCCAAGGTATTTTATGTTGTTTGTGGCAATTATAAAGGGTGAAGTTTCTCTGATTTCTTTCTCAGCCCTTTTATTGTCTGTATATAGTAGGGCTGCTGATTTTTAGTTGATCTTGAATCCTGCCACTTTGCTGAAGGTATTTATCAGCTGCAGGAGTTCCCTGGTAAAGTTTTTGGAGTCACTTATGTAAACTATCATATCATCTGTATATAGTGAAAGTTTGACCTCTTCCTTTCCAATTTGTATCCCCTTGATCTCCTTTTGTTATCTTATTGCTCTAGCTAGAATTTTAAGTACAATATCAAATAGGTATGGAGGCAGGGAATTGTCTTGTCTTGCTCCTGATTTTAGAGGAATTGCCTTGAGTTTCTCTCATTTAGTTTGATGTTGGATGCTGGTTTGCTTTTATTGTGTTTAGGTATGTTACTGTTAACCTGGACCTCTTCAAGACCTTTATCATGAAGGGGTGTTGAATTTTGTCAAAGGCTTTTTCAGCATCTAGTGAGATAATCATGTTATTTTTGTTTCTCAGGTTGTTTATATGGTGGATTACACTGATGGATTTTAATATGTTGAACCATCCCTGAATCCCTTGGATGAAACTTACTTGATATTGGTGGATGATTTTTCTGATGTGTTCTGGGATTTGATTTGCGAGTATTTAATTGAGTATTTTTGCATCAGTGTTCATGAAGGAAATTGGTCTGACGTTCTCTTTCTTAGTTGTGTCTTTGTGTGGCTTGGGTATCAATGTTATTGGCACCTGGTAAAAAGAGTTTGCCCAAGATCTTCTGTTTCTATTGTATGGAATAATTTGAGGAGAATTGGCATAAGCTATTCTTTGAATTTCTGATAGAATTCTGCACTGAGGCTATCTGGTTCTGTTTTTTTTTGGGGGGTTGGGAAATTTTTGATGACTGCTTCTATTTCCTTAGGTGTTGTAGGTCTATTTAAATTGCTTGTCTGTTCTTGAATTAATTTTGATAAATGATATCTACCCAGAAAATTGTTCATTTCCTTTAAATTTTCAAATTTTGTGGAGTATAGGTTTTCAAAATATGACCTGGTGATTCTCTGGATTTCCTCATTTCTGATTTTGTTAATTTGCATGTTCACACTCTGCCTTTTGGTAAGTTTGAATAAAGGTTTGTCTATTTTGTTGATTTTCTCAAAGAACCAGCTCTTTGTTGCATTGATTCTTTGTATTGTTTTCCTCGTTTCTATTTCATTGATTTCAGCCCTCAATTTGATTATTTCCTGGTGTCTACTCCTCTGGGGTGAGTTTGCTTCCTTTTGTTCTAGAGCTTTCACTTGTGCTGTTAATTCTCCAGTGTGACTATTCTCCAGTTTCTTCATGTGGGCACTTAGTGCTATGAACTTTCCTCTTAGCACTGCTTTCATAAGTTTGAGTATGTTGTGTCTTCATTCTCATTGAATTCTAGGAAGACTTTAATTTTTTATTTCTTCTTTG